TTAAAAAAACATGAATATTTCATCATATATTTCTAGCAGGAACGTATTCTTCTGTCGTCATAGATGAACCGCCTTCGGCTGGAAATTACGGGTGGGCCTTGAAGGCAGCATTAATCCTCGCACCTTTTCATCACGGAGGTGTTTCATTTGTTTGAGTCGCCGCCGCTGGGGTGGCACTGGAGCTTTCTCTGAGGTCGGGGCAGAGGATAACTGCGTGTTTTTACTGCGTGGAGACAGTTTCTGTCCGCTCCTTTTACGTTTCCCTGCGTGGGAGACATCCCAGCCTCAAAAATGAGCAGTTTGAACGCGTACAAAGAACCATTTGGTGAGTAAAATATCCATTTCACTGTCCGTGTCAGAGCGCCGTCGTTTCATTCATAACTGTTCTCAACAAGTGTCGTGAAAAGTTTCTTAAGATTTGTCACTATTGTTTATTTTGTGTTAAAACGACACATGTTGCCACATAAAATGATGTATTTCATCAGATTTCATCTTCATCTAAAGTATTTAGAACTTAATTCAATTCAATGTCGCGTCGTTTAGGATGGAAAGGAAGAGCAGCATCCGTTTGTTGGTTAACCACACAACCAAGAAAGTTTCCACAATTAGAAAACTTTCCTTATTCGACTAAGCGGAAAACCCGCTGGCCTCTGCGCTGGCATCTTATTTGCTGTCCAGTGAAGCTGAGGCGTGACGTGTGACCTTCACGCGTTCAGTGATATGAGCGGAAAAGAGTAGGCCACCAGCAGTTCCACAGAACGGAGTCTAGTGGGCTAAGACAGATTAGAAAGAGGATCCGTTTGTGGTTTGTATTTCCGTGTTAGTGTCTTAAAGACTGCTTGTGCCTCTGCTGCTGATGGCTTTATTGATTACTGATACGTGCTGTGCTTCAAAGCATTTTAATAAGAACACATTCTGGTTTTACTTTTTAATAATCATTTATTCTGGTTTTGCTGTTTTGTATCTATTTACACATTGACTGATAGTCATATGTGTCTTAGTAAGCTGTTGGGCCACCGCCATGTGCCAAAAACTCTCCAGTGCTTTCCTGCATCTCCGGGTCTCTACAGGGACGATGGACCATTGTTTCAAAGGATGATGCTGTGGTGGACAGCACTGTCAGCTGGGCAGTGACTGAAGGCCACAGCTAACCTATTTGCTTTATTTGATTTATAGTTTGTTATTACTGTAGTTTAGCACTCATCAGGGAGGAACAGCATCCAGGTTGTTGAGACCAGTCCAGGTCAGCTGGGCAGCATTTGTGATCCCATCAGACACACAGGAGCATCCCAGAAGCTCTGCTTCAATAAAAACAAAGCAGTGTGTGTACGTCTGAAGGAAGCTGCATCACGCTGGAGGAGACTAAGCTGGGCATGAGTCACACATCATTTGCTTTTGAATGGCTTGTTTGCAATATCAAGTTATGCACACTACCATAACATATTAAAATAAGCCTTGAGAATATCCCAAATACAGGTGTAAGACTGCAGGGTGTTCAGTTCCACTAACCAGTTAGTCGTCAGTGCTTCCCAGCAGAGTTATGGAATTCATCTGGTCTCTGGAGCCTCTAATCCTGGGGTCTGATGCACTTCAATATTACTGTTGACTGAGGTCTGTTAGATGCATCTCCAAGCAGAGGGCAGGGATAGCTCAGTAGGTAGTGTTTGTCCCGTGACTCTGGGGTTCGAATCCACTGAGCGAGGTACCGTTCCTTCTCACATCATATGAGAGTTTAAGTTCAGAGGAGGTTTCACTGACTCTGGCAGAAAAGACGTCCTCCTTCACTGACTCGTGGACGCCCAGCATATTAACAGCTGAGGTACATGGTAGGCTGACAGTCTCCAGTCACTACAGCTAAATGACGTCTAAAATCTAAAATACTGGTATGCAACTGATTACGTAACAAGCTAATGAAACACCATAAACATCAGAGGAGGAGCTCCGTGGATGCTAAAGCCCTGGTGACAATAAAGACGTCATCAGCTGTTTGACTAAAGCGATCACAAAGAGAATCCTGTTACATGGCACCAAAATGAAGATTTATCTCCAAATGACTTTGGCTTTCTCCTGTGAACAAACCAAACTGTAGACCAGATGAAGCCGGTCTTCTTGCGGATACTTTGAT